CCACACAGAACTCACAGATTATGGAGTTTATTAGGAAAGAAACAGGCTACAACTCAAGTTCAGAAACATGCTTGGTCTCTCTCAGCCCGCTGTCTCTCAGCCGACAGTCTCTCACAGTCTCTCTCAGCAGTGTGTGTCTCTTGAGATCTCTCTCAGCAGTGCATGTCTCTCGCATCTCTCTCTCAGCAGCATGTGTCTTTCATGTGTCTCAGGAGCACGTTTCTCTCAGCAGCATGTCTTTCTCAGCCAGCAGTCAGAGAGACTTCTGCCTCTAGAAGGGCTCCTTTTGAGCCTGGCAGAGTGGCAAACTAACCAATCCCAACATCAGAATTCTATACACCTGAGAGAGAGTGAACTTCACAGAAAATTACTTTGTGCTGCTCCCAACAGAAATGCCCCAGGTGGATAACTTTAACAATCAGGAGCTACTCAGTTGCTCACAGAAAATTCCACCATGGCGTTTACAGAGACTTATGGCTAGAAAAGCCATATGATATAATTTACTACCCTGCAACAACCAACTAGAAGAGGTTGATATTTGTGCCCATTCCAAAGAAAGATGATTCAACAGCATGTGGAATTTATCAGACAATATCATTAATATCACGTCCAAGTAAAATTTTGCTGAAGGTCATTAAAAAACAGTTGCAGCAGTACATCAACACGGAACTTCCAGAAACTCACACTGGATTCAGAAGAAGGTATGGAATGAGGGATATTGTTGCTGATGTCAGAGGGATCTTGGCTTAAAGCAAAGATTACCAGAAAGATGTTTACCTAAGTTTTATTGACTATGCAGAGACATTTGTTGGATCATAACAAATTTTGGTAACATTGAGAAGAATGGCAATTCCAGAACACTTGTTTGTGCTCATGAGGGACATGTACATAAACCAAGAGACAGTCATTCAAACAGAGCAAGGGGATGGTTTTAAATCAGGAAAGGTGTGTTTACAGGTTTTATCTTTTCACCATACTAATTTAGTCTGTATGCTGAGCAAATAATCTGAGCAACTAGACTATATGAAGAAGAACATGGCATCAGGACTAGAGGAAGATTCATTAACAAACTGCAATATGCAGATGACACAACATTGCTAGCCAAAAGTGAAGATGATTTGAAGCACTGATGAAGTCAAATACTATATCCTTCAATATAGATTACACCTCAACATAAAGAAAACAAAAATCCTCACAACTGGACCAATAAGCAGTGTCCCAGTGTGGTGTAATAAATTACTTAGTGTGGCTTTTGTACCCATAAATCTGTAAACTCCAGGTGGGATTTTCTATGGGCAACTGAGGAGCTCCTGATTGCTGAAGTTGTCCATCTGGAGTATTTCTGTTGGGAGTGGCACAAAACAGTGTTCTGGTTGGTGCCTACTCTCTCTCAGGTGCTTAGAGTTCTGATGCTATAATTGGTTAGTTTTACCACCCTGCCAGGCTCAAAAGGAGGCCTCCTAGAGGCAGAACTCTGTCTGACTGCTCGTTGAGGAAGACGTGCTGCCGAAAGAGACATATGCTGCTGAGAAAGAGACTCAAGAGACATGCGTTGCTGAGTAAGACACTGAGGGACATGCACTGCTGGGGTGAGACTGTGAGAGACTTGGTTGAGAGACGGTGGGCTGGGAGAGAGACTGAGTGTTTTTCCTGAACTTGAATTGTAGTCTGGTGCTTCCCTAATAAACCTCATAATCTGTGAGTTCTGTGTGGCCACTGCAGTGAATTATCGAACCCAGGAGAGAGGTGGTGGGTGCTTTGGGAGGAACAGTTGGAGAAAGGGCTGGAGGGGGGAGGCAGCATGTCTGGCCTGGCAGGAATAGGCCTTGAGTTACTGCTGGTAATCCTGTCTTCCTCTTGTGGGGTTAGAAGAGGTCAGAACATGTGGCCTCTTCGCCATTTTTGCACCCAGTAAATGAAGAAAAGATTAAAGTTGTCAGGAATTTCATTTTACTTGGATCCACAATCAGTGACCACGCAAACAACAGTCAAGAAATCAGATGATGTACTGCACTGAACAGATCCATTGCAAAAGACCTCTTTAAAAGGAGCAATGATGCAGCTTTGAAAACTAAGGTGCCCCTGACCCAAGCTGTGGTATTTTCAATAGCTTCATATGCATGTGAAAGCAGGATAATCAATGAGGAAGACTGAAGAAGCACTGAGGCCTTTGAATTGTGGTGCTGGTGAAGGAACACTGAAAATAATGTGGACTGCCAGAAGAACAAACAAATTTACCTTGAAAGAAGTACAGCTGGTATGTTCCCTAGAACAAGAATGGCCAGACTTTGTCTCATCCACTTTGGTCATGCTCTCAGAAGAGACTAGTCCCTGGAAAAGTATATCATGCTTAGTGTGGTATTTAAGGTTGTGTGCCAACTTGGCCAGGCCTAATTTTGAGTGGTTTGGCAGCTGGATGTAGTGATTCTGCAGTGAGCAGCTGAGTAGCTGTCTTAGGGATGTGGTCTGCTTCCAGTATATAAGAAGACGCTTTGAGAAAGGTCTCTGAACTTTTTTGGCACATCTGAATCCTGCATTGGCCAAGACTTCATCTTAGTGGTCTGCTATGTTGTGAACTAGTGGCCTGCTGTGTTATTTGATAATTTTGGCACTGTGCCAATTTACTTGTTGCTCTTGGGCTTGTCAGCCTTAGCAGCCAGCAGCTGCTTGAGTTAAGAGAAACCTCTAGCTTCAGTGGGCTGGGAGCAAGAGGCAGACCTGAAGCCCAAGGATGAGGAATTTTCATCCAGCCCCTAGAGCTGGCACTTTGAACTCAGACTTACTGCCTCCTAAACTGTAAGAGAATAAACCCCTGTTTGTTAAGACCATCTGTTTATGGTACTTTCTGTTAGTATGGCACTAGATAACCAAAAGACTTGGTAAAGTAGAGGGTCATCGAAGAAGAAGACTGTCATTGAGAAGGATTGACACAGTGGCTGCAGTGATGGAGTCAGGCATAGCAAGGATTGTGAGGATGGCACAGGACCAGGCAGTGTTTCATTCTGTTGTACACGGGGTCACTATGAGTCTGAACCAACTCAATGGCATATAACAACAACATGGAAAAGGATGGCACAGAGATTAACCCTGGTCTTAATGGCTTTCATACGAAGGGTTAGTAATTTACCCAATATTATGGAGCTTGTAGGTGGTAGGAATGAGGAATCAAGTTTTCCAGGCAGACTAGGCAGCAAGTATAAAAGCTCTGATGTCAGAGAATGTGGAGTGTTTAAACTACTGGTGAAAGTTCAGTCTGACTGGAACTTAGAGTGGGAGAAGGAGAGCGACAGGTCATCTGAGGTAAGACTTGCAAGGTAAGCAGGCATAAGTTGCCTTGTTGGTCAACTAAGGATTCTGGATTTGAACCTAAGGTTAGTGGCCAGTTGAGAAGATTCAACATGAGCTGACTTGGCTTGCAGTGTAGTGAGTGGTTTGGAAAAAAGGGACAGAAGTGGATGTGGGGAGGAA